GTGGAGAGGCTACGACTGCCTCTTTAGTCTCAAGGCTGATACTTGACCGTCCTGGGGAGCGGCTCCCACATCGACGGCAGTCCGACCCATCTTCCTCAAATAATACTCCGATACCCCAATGGTCGACGTCTGGGTTGGGCAGAATGTCTGGAACTGCCGCTGCCATTGAAGCCACGAATAACTGCGCCCGGCCGAGCCTCAGGAATGACAATGTTGAAGAAACAATCACCGCACAGAGGTAGCTTGCGAAGAAGACTCGGGCAAGGACACGAGGCTCGATGTCGAAAGGAAAAGAAACAATCGCACAAGGACCGCAGTGGCACAATCTTGTGGAACGGGGGAGGATCTTGTGCATTCTTCTGGCTTTTCACAACAGCCTGTCGTCCGCGACCCAGGAAGGTGACCACGCTGGGAAATCCAAACCACACCTCTGGGATCCCGCTTCCCGGCGTCAGGGAGGCGCATGCAAGAAACGACACCAGCGAAGAAAAAGCAACATTGTCTCCTTTATCTGCCATCCGGTGTGAGCCTCCTGCATCCCTCGGCAAGACAGCAATGATACGACGGGGGTGGGTCCCTGGGGATCCAACAGCCCGGAACCAATTGTTGGGCGGTAGGATGCAGCTACGGTTCCATGCGGCTTGCATCGCGGAACAGCGGCTACAGGACTAGACCTGGCACCCCGGCTGTATCTTTGCTGCATCTTTGCTTTTCTCGTCATAGCGGGCCTTTCTGTCCATTTTTAGGCCGGTTGCCTTGCCCGTGAGGGTGCCATTTAGCTGGGAATCGCTCCCAGTGCTACGGCTACCTGCCGCTGGACCCCGGCAAACATTCGAGGAACCTGCTCGCTTGCGTCTTCTTGCTCGCGAAGAAGTAATTTTGGGAAGAAGAACCAAACATTTCGAGGGCAACTTGACAGAGTGATGCGATGACTGGGCTCGAGTGTCACCTCGCAGGCAATCATTTGCCTTTCCTGGACCACCATGCATCTATCACAACGCATGCTGCCGACAATTTATTGGGGCCCTAATTTCCGGCTGCATGTTTCTGGGCTCGAGGTGACAGCCAACTCATCCAAGACACCTTTCGGGATTTGAACCTGTTCATTCCCTCGTTCCCAACCGCTGCATCTGGGTATAACAGTCTGCCCGGGATTTGCGCAGCGATTCGGTTGGTAACCCTTACGCCTATGGAGCCGGGATCCTGATCCCAGATTCCTCCCGTCGCGCCCGCTCCTCCGAACCATCCAGCTGGGTCATTAATCGTGACGTTGGCAGATATTCCCGTCCCTACAACCATACCTTCGGGTCTTCACCGCTGATAGACTGGTTGCCTTACCAGAGCCAAGGAACTCTAAGCTCCACTGTCAAGGAACTCTCTGACGACCGGCCACGCTCTCAATTGCTTCGCGCTACCGACCTCCTGCTGTGGGCGATACTGTGAAAGGTGACAGCTCTCTCCTTTTTGAAACGCATCCAATAACCGGTTCCTACGATAATCCCCAGTGGACTGCCTTGGCATCAGCAAAGTCATACGGTATCGGGATGCGATTGACTCACAGGAGCAGTATGCGGAATACACCGCCTATCGTCACCATCCGTAATCCGCTCCAACAGGTATCAACAGACATGAGGTACTCATCGCAGGAGCCCTTATCCACGTTGGTTCTGGTTACTGCAACGGCATATGCCCCGCTTCCGAATCCTTCCAGGCAGATGAGGAGAACGAAAAATTCCCAAATATGGGGGATGCATATTGACAGACACGGCACGACCGTAATGAGTGCGAAGACATACGACAGGGTTATGATCATGGCTATCTGACTGCCTTTTTCGTCAGCATATGCCCCTCCGGCCATTACAACAGCCGGGCTTAGATCACTCACGCGGCAGCCTTTGCGTTGGGGCTCAGGTCAACTGACTCCAGCCTGTTCGCGCCCTCGCCGCAAAGAACGGCGGACATGATCCCGAACCCTAGCAGGCCCAAGAGACCGGTGAACAACATGTTATCGCCTATTCTTTGGTGATGTGGCATTCTCCGCCGTTCCTCTCGGACGGCTGAACGTGTCTCTGCCTCGAAGGTGAAGAGATCGCTCCCTTGCACCATGCGCCATAACGATGACGACAACACTGGCCGCCGCGCATCCCGTAGAGAGGATATTGTGTTCAGGGAAGCTTCGAGTTGTTCCGCCCATTGAGAAGGGGAATCCAGGGCATTGGGAGCACCTGCACAATTATCCTGGACGCTCCATTTCTCCCGCGGGGCATCGGCATACCCTTTTGGTCCGTCCAGGTCCGAATTCCAGTCCTCGTCCATCACACCGACCCTTGAAGTGACGTCCCTGCCACTCATATGTACCCGTCGGTGCCTGTCCGTGAAGAGGCCGTGAAAGAAATACACGGCGGTCGACGAATTGTTTGGAGAGTGTCCACGCCACTTCCCACCTATTGATGCATATTCTGTGCCAACAGGTGTTCTATACCCCAATAATTGCGCAACTGTTCCAAACTTCATGGAGACCTTCAAGCTTTATGGTTCTCATACTTGTCTCATGGCTTACAGCAGGCTACTCATCATTTTCGTCAGCCGACTGTGAAGGTCAGGCGCTGCTTCCCCTCAGGTGCCAGGCGCCAAGCGTGATTCCGCCCTGCCGATCAACAAATGCACTAATTCGTCTTGTCTTGTGCTCACCGAGCCGCGCAGCCGTCATTAGCCGGGGCGTATAGCCTCGCCTACCGCGCTCACGTTCTGTGACCGTTGCGTTGAATGGCTCCCGCGCTGAAGATTCAATCACCCGTAAGCTAGGACCGTGACGCCCGTGTTCCACTGACTGGTGTTTGAAGAGGACACGGCATCACTCAGCCTGTCCGTTTTATCCCATACGTAAACTACTAGCATGCCCTGCTCCGTGGGCACTTACAAATAGCACCCGAGCCTCATTTCCTGAGGATATCCACCGGGAACTTATTGGCCAGTTCTTGATACCCAGGCACATTAGGATGCAAATGATCGCCTCCATCAAACTGCGCTTTCAAATGGTCCCCGTCCCCGATGAACGAAGCAAAGTCCACGACATGGTCAAACGTCCCGTTCTCGAGAATCCACTCGTTGACCCTCCGCCGCGTCTGCTCCCGCGCCGGGTTCGAGTAAGACTGCCCGCTCCCCGCAAACGGCGTGATCGTCGCACCGATGGTCACGAGGCCCGCCTTCTTACAGTCGGCGACAATCTGCTTGTACGCGTTGATCAGGCTGTCGCCGAGTCGCTGCTGGGTCGCGGAGTCCGTCGCGCTGGGCCCGATGTCGTTTACGCCCTCGAAGACGAGGACGTACTTCACCCCTGGCTGGGAGAGGGCGTCGCGGGGGTAGCGTGCGAGGAGCGGAGGCCCCAGACCGCCTTGGAGGACCGCGTTGCCGCCTGCTGCTTGGTTTGCGACGGCGATATTGGCCAGGCCCTCCTTTTGCAGGCGCGCAAGGACGAGGTCGGGCCATCTGGGCTGAAGTCAGTCACGCACTCATATTCCAAGGGGGAGATGTAAGTTACCGGTTGTTTCTGTCGTCATCGCTCCCTCGTCCATCAGAGATGCTGTCTCCCAAAATAATCATAGCCGACGTGTTCTTCGGCGCCCATGCTTCCACCGCGCTGGCGAAGTACCAGTGCTTCGTGCTCGCGCCCGTCACAGACGACGCCTTCACCTGGTTCCCGCTCTGCATCCACGATGTCGTACGGCTGCCCGGATGTCCCGTGATCTTGCTCCCGGACTGGCCCTGCTGCGTGTACAAGCTCAGGGCGATGTTAGTCTGCGCCGCAACATTGAAGTCGATGGGGTCTGAGTAGACCACTGCTCCCTGCTTGATCGTCACCGACGACGAGCCGGAGAAGGTGAGACCTTTAAGCGTCTTGGTGTCGATGCCGGGAACACCCGCAGCGCCGTCCAGAGGTAAGGCGAGTGATGCTGCTGTGATGGGGAGGTCTGAGCCGCCAAATGTGTTGGACAGCTGGACGCGCAGGCGGGATGCACCAATGGAGGTGTGAAATGTCTGGCGGAGGGTTGCATCGCGGAACTGTACGCTTCCCCCGTTCTGACCTCGTCAGTACATCCATGGCGCGACTCCGTGGGGCGATCATATGCTTCTTACAAACGGCGAAGGCGGCAGGTTTCCCGGCTCAACCTCTTGCGGCATGGACGTCCACGTCACAACCCAGTGATTATCATCCTGCCGTTCACGCAAACCATCGCCTGTCGGGATGGCCAGCGCAGACGCCGCCCACACGATGGCCAGCAAGATAGACCTCATGACTGCATATGTCTACGCGCGACTGAGTCTCTCGTCTCAACTCCTGCAAGGCCAAGAGCGGGAGCATCGTGGCCTTTTTATGATGAAACGGAACAAAGTCGTCCGAACGACTTGTCCGCTTGGGCCATACCCTTTCACCCGCGCTGCGGTTTTAGCCAAATGGAAACCCCTGATCCCATATAACCTATCTAGCCTGCTGAGCCGCGAGCGGGATTAATCATGTTTGAGGTAGAGATGTCCAATAGGAGTGCGCGAATACGAGATACCCGGCATCTCGGGATATTGGGTCCGGCGGGGAAGTGTGGCAGGAGGGGTGGGATCCCCGGCTTTGTAGACGACAAGGTTCGGCTTAGAGGGTCACGGTCTGGAGAAGCTTGAATATCCATGCGCTGGTTCCCTTCATTTCATCTGATTTGCGGTTGTCTTTCTCTTAGTCATGGTTTAGAACCATGAACGAAAGGGGGCTTACTTGGAACTACGAGAAAGCTGAGAAACGATTCGATGGATGCAGTAATATTCAAGATACGGTTTCTATCAATGACAAAAGAGAGGCATTTGCAGACCTACTCCTAGGTAGCTGGTAAAGCCCTGCTGCCCGGCACTCAAACAGTATGGCAGCGGGAGAAGACGTGAAGAAGAAGCTGGTCCTTCTCCCGAACAAGAAATGAACAACGACCAGACCACCTGCGAGATCACGTCAGAATTTAGCAGGCGAATTCGCACTGGAACTGCCTCGACTATACCCAAACGTTAGCACATCTCCCATGTCATTTCGGCCCTCCAGAGTCCACGACTTACATCAGTTCGGCAGTGGCTGCCCCCCTTGTTCCAGTCATCAGCCGTCACACCTCTGCACTTGGCGAACCCCGACGTCGAGTCCGTCGTCCAGGTGAGAAGGCCGTATCTGAACTCAACGTCGTCCTTGTCGTGGCGACCAGTGATTTTCAGGATGTACTCCATGCCTGCCTCCTTGAGCTCGAGGGGCTGTGAGGGGTTGATCGATAGGCCTGGAGCTGATAGCTGGGGCGTCTCGTGCCAGAGGACTTGGTTGGGACCTTCGAGTCGGAAGCGCGTGTAGAGGTTTCGGTCCTGCGGTTCGCAGGTTCTAATCTCCGTGATGTCGAGCTTGCACGTATCTGGTAAGGAGTGATATAAAGTTAGGACATGGCCAGAAGCAGCACGGAGACGCCTCTTGAGACAGTGCCGGATTTATCTTGATGGCAGAGTTTGAGGAAAGAAACAAATCAACTGACTGTACGGAACGCGCTTGGCGATGTCTTCCAAGTCGGACGACAATGGGGTCGGGGAAGCGGAAACAGCAGCGCTAAGGAATAGAAAAAGGGCGGTCAACGAGAGATGCATTGCGAAGTTGTTTCGAGGTTTTGACGTCTGGCTTGAGCGCAACAGGATGGAGATGTACGATGGATAGAACACAATCAGGAATCGAGTCATTGAGCTGACAGTGCTTTTTATGTATCCTCGACAGATGAAATTCACTGTATCGAACAGACGCTTTGATTGAACAGGTTTACCTCACAACTTGAGATAACTGCGACATCCCTTTCGTGTGACTTGTGTGTTTGTTGGGCTATCAAAGGTTTGAGTTGGCGCCTTAGACGCCCCCTTGCAACGAGCATTCCATTTGCTCGTATCGTGAGCTGTGTAACAGCTCAAATTTGTCATTGAAACAGATTCGAGCTGATACTACTGGCTATGCAGGCGGAGTGATCTTGGAGGGACGGCGGGGACGAAGACGACAAAGAAGAACAATCTGTGGGCAATCTGTGAGTGACTAGACTACATGTAACTACAAAGTACCCTCCATTTCCGGTAAAACAAACTCTTTGCGGCCCCAAAGCACCCAATACGCAATGACCCGATGAGGACCAAGATGAAAGAAGTGTAGTTCATCTCCGCAGCGCTGATGGGCAGATAGTAGGGGAGACAATACACAACAAGGCCGCGGTCCAAGCTAAGGCCACGAAGTTTGCCAGACAGCCGAACTTAGGAAACCAAAACGGGCCGTGAGCAAAGTTCGGCCGTCCATGAAAAAGGAGCAAGACAAGGGGAACAGCATAGCTGACGTATTGTGGCAGAATGCCACAAGAAATGAGGGAAGAAAATGCCGTTTCGGAGGCAAGATACACGAAGCTCAGCAGCGCCGTCCAGCATGCAGACCACAATATGGCCCAAACCGGGGTGTTGAATGGCCATGGTACCACCCTGCGGAGGTACGATTGAAAAGGAGAGCCTCTGTTTCATGCGAAAGCCCAGGCCAGCCTGGATTGCCAGGACTGGACGCCAAACATAACCCCTGTAGTAGAAACAAGGACGAGGGACTGGATACCGAATGCGGCGTGTTTGTTCTGCCGAGAGATGTAGTACACGACTGTCAGAACATCTGTTTGGGTTTCTATGTCGGTGGTGTTGATGTAAAGTGCCAGTATAGTAAGCATGCCGGTAATGAAGCCGACGACAATGCTCTACATAAGTGCCTTGGGGATATTTTTCTTGGCTGAGGGATTTCCTCGACAATGTGCACCACCACGTCCAGACAGAAGAAGCTCCAGTTCAGGCCGTTGATACCAATAAGGAATGCAACGCCCTTGGGCCAGCCAGAAATGTTGTAGTAGTCTGTGAAAAATTGCTCCGAGGTCACTTATTCCGTCGAACCTGCAAAAAGGCTGACTACTATAGCCAGAATCGAGAGGACCGTGAAGATGAGACACCCGCTTGCTAGCTGGGGAAGGATCCGCTCGAAACAGCTAAAAGAGGCTGTCAGAATGTTGATGGTGTGGTACCCTACAAACCCCATCAAAGGCGTGTATTCGAAGTCGGGCCTGCTCATTGCCACCATGGCCACTGTAACCTGAGGTACAGTCAGACAGACTGATGCCCCTGTGCAGACCGCGCCAGCCCAGCTTGCGATTGCTGTTGAATACGACAGGAACCTGCATGGCCATGCTGGAGACAAACCGGCCACCCAACGTACTGCCCACCAGGATGTGGAATGGCGGAAGCAAGCAAAGCAAGACTGGTGGCTGTGCTCAATCCTACCAGGGCCATGAGAATGAAGCCGAAGAAGGATAACGGGGCGCCGCCAAATGGAATAGTTGTTCCCACAGTGAGAAGTATTCCCATGGCTGTGTTCGTGATTGAATGGGCGATCCCGATAGCCGTCCATGTCGTGAAAGGCCGTTCCATATGGCCGTCCTCAGCAATGCGCAGGTCGATGGACTGCGACTCCCCGGCTACCTCATTACCACTCTGAGTTCGGGCTGCCTTCTCCATACCTTTTAAGGTTGACATATTGATGTCCTGAACGTCCTTGGGAACTTGTGTGATGAAGTTGTTGTGGATCGGCTTGCCATACCAAAGTGATATTAAAAGTGGGAAAAAGAAGTCTGAGAATGTTTGAGCCCGAGTGAAGGAGAGATGGGTTGGCTTTGGCTTTAACATTGCCGCCCGCAGTATTATTCGTGTACTCCGCGTTTTCTAGAGACAAATTCAACGACAATATCAAGCTACCATGATCACTTGTGATAACGTCTGCTATCAAATGCCATGGGTTGCCCACTGGGCTATCATATGTTACGTAGTCCTATCCTGGGCCACATTTGCCCGATCCAGACTTTTCCGAGGTGATAAGCGTAAATATATCATTGATAGTAATGTTGCAAGTTCCGGGAAAGCGAAGCCGAGCTTGTGTGGGGTAGATAGAAATAGTCAGTAATGGCTGATGTTGTTCATCGAATACGCGCTTAACTCCATGCCCAGAAGAGCGAGAAATCCGAGCTTTCCGGAATTCCGCTTTCCCTTCGTGCTTGCTGGATGCAGATTGTGTCCAACGGGCGGAGTTTGACATCTCGGGCCCGAGGCAACATGCTGAGGCCAGACGGTTTGGATGGAAGAATACAATGATGTAACCAAGAAAGATGAAAGCCCCAAACACGAACTGGGATATTTCGTCTTTTAAGCCGTCTGAAGCTAGAATTATCTCAATCATGGCACGACCGCCTGCTAAATGTTCCTTTCCCATGCAGTTCTCGATCCATGGGGATGAAATGCCGAGTGTGTAGACGGTCAGGAAGGCGGAAACTGGCGGTCTTCGAGAGCTACGAAGTTCTTGTTGGAAGAGTCTAAGCGCGGCTTGTCTTTCCAGGAGACTCTCCTCTATACTCTAGTGTCGGTAGTAGTTCTCGTGAGCCGCGCTCAGGATATGGATGGCGTGCAGACAATATGGCATCTCATTGAGATATTCCAAGATTGGAAGACCCATGAGATTCATCTTTCTTAGATGAATGATGTGACAAGCCTGTTCGGACCAGTATTGAAGTTGCCTGGAGTGATTGGTAGCGTAGACTGTTGACCTGCAACGGCTCTCAGTCAAGAGGGAAATCCAAGCGAGTCTTCGGATGCGAAATTTGAGTAAACTTTTGCGAGAGTTGTTAGCGCTTATCTCGGTTGATGTGTGAGATGATTCGGGCGAGAATCATCTGTGAACGATCACAAGCGTGCACAAAACCAAGCGAGATGTGACTGTTAGCTCTGATGGTATTTCAGTGGGATAAAAGGGGGTTACAGATTATCTCCTCTTCCCGCGACAAAGACCGAATTGCTGGCTTGATATGATGACACTCAAGATTGCGGGGTTGGCTTGTTTTCCCATCTTCAAGACCCCATATAACGTCAAGATCGCATCGACATCATTGTAGCGGACCAATCCAAGACGCAACTGAACGTTCATGTCTGATAACCACCAAGATGACAGTTGCATGGCATCCTAACCTAGTATCCTGCAGATAACACATCTCGGCAAATGACCAAAAGCGGCAAAATTGAGACCATCCTCCTCCCGGCTTATGTCGAGCCAAGTTGGACTGATCCTATGACTGCATGCCCAGATAAGTTTCATTCGCTGTAATAGAACGAAGTCAATTATTTAATTTCAATGCCCGTTGCGTGTCTTGCGGCATGCTATGCAACCTCAACGCCGCTCCTGCGAAAGTCTGCTTGTCCACCTGGAACATACCACAGTCCTTCACACAATATGCGAGCACCGCTGACCGCCACCAACGATGCTTCGCAATCCTCAAGTGAGACCCCGAGACTAGACTCGCGAAATGAGTTATAGGCTATGATCCCAAAGATGCTTGTAAACTTTCAAAGCAATGCCTTGAGATGCATTTGGGAACCCTTCACTTTCTCCAGCTTTTCTTGCAGTCGTTCCATCCTCTCGGAACTCATGACATATTCACCGGGAAACCAATCCCGCACATCCTCGCCTGAGAACATCTTCACCACGGCTCGTCCACACAGCCACGCGTTGACCATGCCATATCCTCCATAACCAGCACAAATCCACTCCGCGGAGTTTCTATCGCCCGCAGTACGGTCCAGAGCCGATTGAGGAAGCATTCCTACTAGCGGTACGCCGTCCAGCGTATTAGCCATTATACCGGTCCATGAAGCACGCATCTTTGGCGGATCCCCCGGATTCTCCTGGCCAAACACAACACCGAGAACGCCTGCGAGATGGGCCTTCGCGGTGATTATCTCCTCTGCGTCCGAGCCCATACCAAGAGGTTGCATCAAGGCCTCTTCCCCTCCGACATCGCCGCCGCCCACGAATAACTCTCCAGACCGGGCATTTTGGGTGAGGTAATCGAAACCATGGGGAAAATAAAAGCTCCAAGAATAGGCTCCATCCTTCTGATGAAATTGGTCGCCAGGAGTCTGGACCGTCATCTCCCCTCTACGCGGAACAATGATACCACGAAGACCAGGTATCAAGTGGCTGGCGTGGCCTTCAGTACAGTGAAAGATGTGCCGCGCGCGGACTACGCCACGAGGTGTGCTGATGGCATACGGGTAGTCCGCATTAACTCCGGCCCTTCGAATGTTCGTAGCCGGAGTATTGGATTCGATGGTCAGCCTGCCGCTGTGGCTCGTCAGCAGAGACGCCCAGATGCTCGTGATAAGCCGGTAGGGCCATGCAGCTCCAGCTTGGCCGACGAGAGCTCCTTTGGCCTTGGGGATTTTAAATGTCTATCGAAGATTTAGCATGAAATGAAAAAGAACAACAGAAAGCTCACCTCTATGGCTTCCTTCTGATCTGCGATTCTCCATCGGCCTTGAAGATCCGGAAATGCTGCTTCGAAATTGGCCAGCTTCTGCTTGAGATCCTCCAACTGTTTATCCTCAAACACAGCCGCGCAAGTTCCGACTTCCCTGACCTCAGATTTCTCGAAGTCCTCGAGCCCAAGATCTTTTGCTGCATTTTGAATGGCATCAAAGTGAGCGAGCTCAAACCGGACGATCTTCGTCGCAGCTTCTTTGCCGAACTTCCGGTAATACTTGTCGTAGTCCAAGACTGCAACACAGTTGATTCGTCCACCATTGCGACCCGTTGCGCCCGAACAAACCTCGCGGGCCTCGAGGACAGTCAAAGTTAGATCTCTACGAGATTGAAGAAGTTCGCGCGCGACGTTACAGGCGGTGATGCCGGACCCAATGATAACGACATCTCGGTTTGTGGGGAGCGAGGTGGATTGTATGCCGCTGAGGCCGCTGTGAAGCGGCTGTTGCCAGTATGAAGCCGTGGGTTGACGGGCCGGGAGTCCGGGGTCTTGCAATACACGATTTGACATTGCGAAGTATATTCTCTGAATGGGCTACAGAGTATTAGGACTCGCCATCATGTCCAGAGGAGAGCAAAAGATGCGGAAAACTACTTGACATGAATAGATAAGAAGCGATCGCTTCAAAGTGCGACCCCGCAGGCCACTGATAAGACGGCTCCGTGGACCGGAGCGCACGGTCCGGCGCTGGCGTCCTTTGCGAAGATGCAGATGCCTAAATCAGAACGCAAGCGAGGTACAGCTGCTTGGGGAACATAGCTGGTGTAAAATGATCTGATTGTTCTTTCGAATGGGCCAATAACAGCAGCCTGCGTCGAATAAATGCATACACGGCCGTTAATAAATGTCTCCATGGCCATCTTTTCAGTGCTGTGTCGCTGAAGCCGAGGCTGTGGTCCGGCTGCTTGGTTCAGCGTGGATACGAGGTTGATGTTGATAACGAACTTGTGGGATAAGGACACATGCGCATTGTTGGAGCCACAGCTTTGAATACATGTACAATACAGATAACCATACTGAGTAAACATTGCTATTGTCTGATCTGACTACAGAAAGCTCGTTGCCCCCTCAATAGCCACCCAAAATGATGACCAGAGATGTTCATTTCTTTGCGTCGTACACAATTGGCGACAATCGCCAAATCCAGCAACTAAGCCTCATGGTCTTCAAGTGGCAGGCATATGGTCATCGATGGATGTAATTCCGGAGGGTTACAAGGCCTTGCTTTGTTAGCGGTCTATGAGGTCGGTATCAGTATGAAAAGCTCACTTAGCAATTGAAATCCCCAGGGTTCTTGCAACAGTCCCCGCTCTTAGCATAGCCAGCGCAGCATGTAGCTACTTTGATGTTACTGCACTTATCGATGTTGATAGGGGAGGGCGTAGCCAGTGCGAACATCGATGCGAACGAAGCAACCACGACGAAGATAGAAAGGAGCTGCATTTTGAGTTGATTTCTAGTGAGCTTGCTTGGATGAAAATAAATCTGAAAAGCAGATTCGGAGGGCAGATTCTGATCAGCAGCACGGCCAGTTATAAGCAATTGGCTCTGGTGCATAGAAGACCTTTCTTGTTAAATAGGGATCAGCTCGAGTATATGAGCGATGCTTGCGTTGCCAGTAAATCAGCGAGAGACATAAATTAACCGATAGTGTGGACTACGACGCGTTAGCGGCTCACATTTGCTAAGCCCGCTGAAATGAAGGGCTGATCCCTCCGCAGTCAAGGTTCCCGGAAGCTTCAATCACCCGATTTATCTACTTCTAGAAAGAAGTAAAAGAAGAATACGGAAAATAATTTGCAAACCACCATCGGATTTCCGTGAAAGACATGGTTATGCCTCTTAGATTATCCCCTGCGGCCGCGCAAATGTTGGCTTCAGAATAGGTACAGTCACATGAGAGTCAATACAACTGACAGAGTGAGCTTCAGCGGAGTGCTACAGTGATCCCCTCAACATCTGTGGCACTACCAGCGATGCGACCAATCAGTCATGTCACCTAGATTTAGATCACAGATAACAATAGTTCAGACATGGCGGAGTTGTGGGAGTTTTGATTATGAAATTTACAGGCAAATAACTGGTGGCATTTAGCTGCAGCGAACAGTGTTCTGCCCGATGGAACTTTCTATCTCAAACAAGCCGACTAAGCTTTTCAAAGAGGCCGTTTTGAATTTGTTCTTGGAAATCTAAGACGAGCTAAGTGGGTATTACTTTTAGCCGCAGGCTTATTATATTATCCATGGGAGTTAGCAGAAGCCCCGGAGCTAGCACCATAGGCACTAAAAGCCCATGAGATGCAGCCTGCCCTATCGCTGACTCGCCTGACTTGCGCCTATGAGAGATGATGCACGGCGGTCGGCTTGAGCGACAGACACCTAAAATTGGCCTAGCACCGCAATACCTCCTCCCCTTTCATAATACTTGCTGTCGGTCTTGTGTCTCCTACTAGACTGCGGCATTGCTACTAGTTGGAAGAATGTGAATGTTTTCCCTGCACTCCAGCCAGACATGTATCCTCTCCGTAAGTTCACGCTACACCAGAAACTCGAATGCCCACGCAGTTTTCCAGTCTTCCTCCGTCTGGTAAATCGCTATGGTGATCTCGTCGTTCGTATAAGAGTGGGTGACAATGCCGCGGTCCGTAGGAGCATCCAACTCGGCTTCGGGGATCTCGTAGGTGAACCCCCAGGTCTGAATCTTTGGTTCCCCAGCCGGGGGCAGGCCCACAGCACTGAGGTTCTTGAAAGTCAGGGCCCAGGTGCCCGTCTTGACCCGCACCCCAGCAAGGGCACGTACTTTGTCGTTCCCGACCGTAGCGTACACGTCGAATATTCGGTCATCAGAACCAGTTGTGCCAGCTCGATAACCGGTCATATTAAGGTTGTAGTACTTCAGTGCCTGCCAGTCACCGTTTGGGTGGTACGGCAGGTTCTCATCGTCGCGCCATATGAGACTGGCTAGGAAATCACGGAGATGAGAACCGTCTGGACCTCCACGCCAATTGGAGCGCAGACCCGAAGTATCGTATCTTTCAAACCGGGACAGATGCCACACTGTTGCCGCTGGGTTGAGTTCATCGGCAAGGTTCAGGTACTCGTTGATGTTGATGGGTTTCTCTGGAGCACCGGCGGCAGATCGCATGTTGTTGAAAGTGACCAAGCTGTTCTGAAGGTCATTGGCGGGGTTATCGAGTGCCTCAATGTGGTGCCATGTGTACAAGTCCGGCGCGGAGTTGTTCGCGGCGATGTAAGATAGGAAGTTTGACCACCATGTGTTGTCTTCTGTCGGCGGCAGTGAAAGAGAGGGACCTATCAGTTGGACTTCTCCAAGACGATCATCCGAACTTATAACGTGAGCTATCAACCGATGACTTGGAAGAGTGTGCTAACATACCGAAATCTGTTCATAGCTCGACCGAACATGTCAAGCCACTGCGCCTGAGGTCTCTTCCAGAAGCCCCATTCAGGCTCGTTCCAGATGTCGATGTATAATCCCGGAAGCATATCGTTGTCAATGACCCTGCTAATGATGGTGTCCAGAAAGCGGTCATAGTTGGCCCAGTCACCATTGTCACCGGGCCATTCCATAGACTCGTCAGTAAAGTTAGTGCCACAGAGGTCATGAAGCAGAAGCAGAAACTTTCCGTTGTACTTCCGGACAGTTTTGTAGTTGCTGAGCGTCGATTTCCATCTCTTTTCCATCTCGGCATCGCCCCAGGACCAGCCACGGTTGGGCTCAGTCATTTGACCGCCACCGGCGCGGAACCAGTGAAGGCCAATGTCAGTATAAAAATGATCAGGAATTTGATTTGGGATATCGGGTATTCCATAGATGATACCGCTTGCGAGATGCTGCGGTGAGCCCCTGTTGACGGCAAGGTCAACAGTGGCAACTGCATCTGGTGACCATCGTCGTTCAACGGCTGCATAGTTGACGAGGCCCACCAGTGTAACCACCAGAGAGAAAAGTCTAGATATGGCAAAGACTTCCCAGAAGAAACGCTGGTAAAGGTAGGCGGATCGTTTGGCAGACCACCTGTTGTGTCAATGCCAGTCTTGAAAATGCTGCGTTTGCGTACGGCAATCATATGCCAAACATAGTCATGACTTAGCCAAGACATCATGAGAAAGACAGATCTTCAAGAGGTCGGCTGGCTCTCAGTAGCCTCCCATGCAGTATTCAAACGCACCAATATGGCGGTTGTTGCATTCAATGACAATGGCCGGCCGCCCACCCCCACCGGAGTAATGTCAACCAACCGTCCGGGGTAACCGGCCACCGGAAGAGCAATATTGGATCGTGTCCCGGTGATGACGCCACAACTATCAACGAATAGTCTTAGAACCTTCTTGATCGTTCCAACACCGATCGACGAGTTCCTGATGAAGCCTGCATTTGCCGAGAACTTCTCCGCCGGATAGGGCCTGTGAGATCCCGCGTACCATGCGTTATTGATGGCATCTCCACCGGACCTTTTCTTCCTGTCGACCACTACCACCGTCGCAGTCTCCAAAACATGCCCGATATTGTCAAATCTACCTCCGACTGCAGATTTCACGAGGGTATTTCTAATAGACAATGGAAAACAATCCAAACTTCCATTCACGTATAAATCATGGAGTCAATACCCTGAAGATGGAGGTCGGTATCAAACGGAACAAGCACTATTCTCCTTCACAGTCTCACAATGTGGCTGCACTTGGTTCTCGGTCTCTTTTTCTCTTGGGTCTTTGCTGAGACAAATTACACCAACCCCATCATTTGGCAGGATCTCCCAGATATTGACCTCATTCGGATTGGCGATGCTTATTACTACTCGGCCTCGACCTTTCAGTACTCCCCCGGCGCCGTCATCCTTCGGTCATACGATCTGGTGAATTGGGAATATCTCTCTCACTCGGTTCCAAACCTCGACTTCCAAACTACTGAGGCCTTCAATCTGGAATCTGGCTCACGTTACAACCAAGGCATCTTTGCATCGTTCTTCAACTATCGAAATAGCACAGACACTTTCTACTGGGGTGGCTGTATTGTGGGCGACGGCAACACCTATGTCTACACAGCTCCGACAGTTGAAGGACCTTGGACCCAGAGTTCTACCATCAACCAGTGTCTCTACGATGCTGGTATGCTGATCGATGATGATGACAAGATGTATGTGGCTCATGGCCATACGAATATTTCTGTGGCCCAACTGAGTGACGATGGTCTCCAAGTCGTCCGGGATGAAGTTGTCTTCGAATCAACCGAGGAACTGGGATACATCGAAGGAGCTCGATTCTACAAGCGGAACGGAGCTTGGTACCTATGGATCGTCAAGCCCGTCCCAAGCCAGATCGTCCTCAAGTCAACAGTTGGACCATTTGGGCCTTATGAGTGGAGATGGGTTCTCCAAAGCAACGGAAATCCCGTTCCTGGCGCCGGCAACCCCCATCAAGGCGCCATTGTGAGCACGCCTGACGATGCTTGGCACTACATTGCCCATCTCGAGGCATATCCCGGTGGGCGTATTCCAGTTCTTGCTCCCATCTACTGGGACGAGGAGGGCTGGCCCCATGTCGAGTTCGTTGACAATCAATGGGCGACCACCTATCCGCTTCCTCTGCCTGAGCGTCCAGTCAAGCCCATCACTGGCACCGACAACTTTGAGACCTTTGGACCCCAGTACGAATGGAACCACAACCCAGACAACACGGCATGGGACCTCAACAACGGGCTCGAGCTTCGCACCGCTACCGTCACAGATGACTTCTTCCGCGCTCGGAACACTCTTACACATCGTATTTTGGGACCCGTCTCGACAGCCACCATTGAACTTGACTACTCCAAAATGGCCGACGGCGATAGGGCGGGCCTCGTCCTCTTCCGCTACGCAGCCGCGTGGATTGGGGTTGTCAAAGATGGTGACAAGACCAAGGTTGCGATGGTCAACAATATCATGATGATTCCAGATGATGGGTGGCATACAATCAACAAAGGGGAGGAGATTGAGAGTGCTGAGATCAGCGGCGGATCGGTGTGGCTTCGACTCGAAGTTGGTGTCAACTCGCTCTACAACGAAGAAGGTCGGTTCTCGTACAGCACCGATGGAGTCAACTTTCAGTCCTTGGGCGAACCTCATAAGCAAGTGAACAATGGTATTCTTCACTTCCTGGGATATCGGTATGGAGTTTTTAACTACGCCACACTCGCTCGGGGTGGAGCCGTTACGGTCAAGTCCTTCGGCATTCATGAGTAAGACATTGTGGGATTCTACTATCTGGTGGAACTGTATCATGCCCACCTCTGCGGAACAAGTTCATTTGGGACTTGGAGATTCAGGTACTCTATTTTCTCTTCTGCATTTCGGAAGTTGTCTCAGTATCTTCTTGAATGATGATACAAACCTACCTATACTAAGGCAGCTTCCTCCTTACTATAACTAAAGAAAGTTGACATCCACTATTCATGTTTTTTCACCATCCCATACCGTGCCAATGTGCAGGGCAAAACAACCTGTGCCGGGTTGAACTCCTCAACAACCCAATGACTGGGAAAATATGTCACTGACCTAAGTCAAAAGCCACACTATCACAGCTGCAAGTACTCTGCATGGTGAAATTGCCCTTTTGATAGTCGTTCTCTCGCACTTGCAGCATGAAATTTCCCATCGCTTATCACAAGGCTTATTGGAAAATTTGAAGTTTACAATCAGCAATCAAATTGCATTCATAATGGAGAGTCGAGAAGTCGAATTAGCATGAGCATGCTATGCCTACCGCTTTTGACCTTAGGGTTCTGTCCAAAATAGGAAATTCCATACTTGGGATCAACGCCATCGCTTGGTTGCCGACACTCCCGGATGTTCACGCGACCTACCGGGTATAAGAACGCTCATCGAAAACATTCCCCTGATTCTCTTTGACATATCCTGTCTTACCTCGCTCAAGTCTGGATCTTTCGCCTTCGAATTATTTGATCGACAGCACAAAGTCTTGTGGCAAAATTTATTTGATACCAAGTTCCAACATACCGACACCCATCAAGCATCACCAAACCTACCCACGTTCACTAATATGGCTATTCAGAGTCCAGAGTGTTACGTGCTGGAACAGACGAGATTCTGTCCCAAGAATCCACTGCCCTACATAGTTTACCGAAATGTTTTGACGCCTAACGTCACAGAACAAACCGCTTCGGAACTTTTGACCAAGCATGGCGGATGGGAACGATTTGTAAGGTCTTCCTAATGTAAGGAATGATGGGTTAGTGACTAACGCATTGTACTCTCCAGGGCCCGGTCTGGGGTCCTGTGTCGAAAAGACACTTTCACCCCAACGTGCACGAGTGCTATGGTGAGTAGCATTTGCCATTAGTCAAGTCACTAAACGACGCTCAAATGTGCTATTAACCATAAGTGATAACGATAATTCGCCAGCAATTCTGAGTGGCACATCAACTTTTCTGTTGGGGCTTGCCACGGGCGCTAGCGAAGCAGACGTTGAAGCCGCCCCGGAGGCTGCTGGGTGCAAGGGGGTTGACGCCAGGTCAACTAGGGGTTTACGCCTTCGGGTGTCTGCTGGAGATGTCGTGGTACAGCCTGCAGGAACAGGTCACTCATCTCTGGATCGTGATGGGAACTTCCGTTACATCTCGCTTTTTGTTTCGGTAATATGATATCCAACCTACCTTACATGTCAATTGCTCGAATTTAGCTAACTGAATTGAAGGGAGCCCCACACTGGCGAAGCTCGATAGGAAACACTCCAGTTGATGAGGAAACCCGACGGGGAATCAGCCAGATTCCGCTACCTGAGTTTGATCCAGTGTATGGCAAAGACGGTGCTTTACAAAAGCTATGGGGGTCAGCATGATGAGGGTCTTTCTAAATCCCGGCACAATCTGTACAGCTTTCTTCTGATTGATTAAATGCCTCCCCCAATGCCCTTTGTAGGTCTTGCTGAACTATATTGGATTGAGGCGCCGTTCAGGTCTACCACATGCAATGCAGGGGGAGACGTTTAGCCAAAAAGTATTGTCTTGGGTCGTGTGCAGCAGAGAAAGGACTGCGGTATACGATCCCGCACCGTTCATCTGCCTGTCTTGCAGCCAGATGAACGTAACGCCAAGGCGGTAAGGATCAGTAAGACAGATCGACATCGCTTCCAAGTCGCAATTTTCCGGTCGCTTACTCAAATCGGGATTACGGGGGATGATATGTTCTAACTCCGATTCGATAACCTGCGGGCGGACGGCTGATCGACCCGCCGTCCGCTTGCTGTTACATCAAGTCCGAGGAACTCCGAGAAAATGTCACGGACCGTTCCGGCGCCCTAAGGCGGACACCTCCGTCTCCCCCTACAATGAGCCGTATGCCCATGAACATATCCCGGAAAGCGGGAAGAAAACTTGATCAATGCTGTGAGTCTCGGAATTTCGATTTCCGCTTTTGGAAATTTGAGACCTGTTGACGTCGACGACGTCCCTGGGGTGGGTCAAGCGCGCACGCTTCAAAGTCCGTATTTCAGTTGCGTACAAGATAAGTATGTAGGGATATAAAGCGACGTGACCGAAATATCTCATGTTATAACCAATAAACTTTCTCGATTTAAATCAATAAGTCATACGATTCCTTTTTTTCTTCAATATGACATTGACATCTTATTTTCCGCTGGGCATTGGGTCCATCCCACAAATCCTTACATCTGCCACTTGTTTGTGGCTGCTTTTCCATCTCGGCCGCGGCATATATCAGGCCTACTTCTCGCCTTTGCATCGGGTGCCGGGGCCCAAGCTTTGGGTCATCATACCAATTATTCCAAAAATCAAGATTCTGCTCGGAACAATTGACCAAGACCTTCGGCAACTCCACCGCAAATACGGCAACGCGGTCCGCTGGAGCCCAGATCATATCACTTTTACCACCAGTGAAGCCTGGAAAACCATCTATGGCCACAAGCACGGACAATTTCCCAAGTACAACAGCTCGGAACAACTTGAGCCCCAATCTAACATTCTGTTTGCCGACGACGCCAACCACGCCCGCATCCGCCGCGGGGTTTCGCACGCTTTTTCACCGAAGGCCTTAGCTGAGCAAGAACCACTCATCTACGAGTACGTAGACAAGTTGGTATGGAGGCTGTCAGATGTAGCAGAGTCTCGCATGCCAACGGAGATGGGCAGATGGTTCCATATCGCATCCTTCGACATCGTTGGGGATTTGACCTTCGGCGAGTCACTTGGCGGCCTTGACAACAACGAGCTCCACTATGTTGTAACGCATGTTCTATTGTTCATTGAACGGGCGAAGAAGCTATTTGAACTCAACAGCCTCCTCGGCCCCTTGCGGTGGATCGTGATGCCGATTATCGCGAGAGATGCCGAGAAGGGTTTCCGAGACATGTTTACCTACACACGGTCTGCGGTTCAGCGCAGAATCGACATCGATGGGGAGTTGGACCGCAGAGACTTTATGCAAGGCTTGCTCCGTGGGAAGGACGAGAAACTGATCAGCTCCATGGAGGAGATCATCACCAATGCCAACACCATTTTTGTGGCTGGTAGCGATACTACAGCAACGCTCATGACAGCTGCTACCTTCTACCTTCTTTCAACCCCTGAAGCTTACAAGAGAGCTGTGGCGGAGGTTCGGAGTGCATTCCAATCCGCTGCGGAGATCAACTTTACCAACGCAACCGCACGCCTGCCTTACTTGCTTGCTGTGCTAAATGAGACATTCCGGTTGTATCCTCCTGTCCCGTCAGTGAACGAACGAATGGTACCGGATACAGGAGAGAAAATCTACGTGGAAGACTACTATCTTCCTCCCCATGTAAGTCACTCATTCCAAGGCATTTACTTTCATGGACAAGACTGACAAGAGTATCAATGAATGAATAGACCTGTGTCGGTGTGCACCATTCATCTGCCGGTCTATCCGAGTCAAATTTCGCTCAGCCGGAGTCTTTCATTCCAGAAAGATGGCTTCCCGAGGTTGCTCAAGATCCTGCATCTCCATTTCACGCAGACAAGCGAGACGCAATACAACCATTTTCTTACGGTCCTCGTAACTGTGTGGGCAAACACCTGGCGTACAACGAGATGCGAGTCATCATGGCTAGGTTGCTTTGGGAGTTCGACATGACCCTTGACAAATCGTCTCTGAAGTGGACGACGCCGTATTCAGAGCATAAGTCGTGGACAATTTGGAAGAAGCCGACCTTGATAGTCCATATCAAGAAGCGTCAGTTTCAAACTTAACGTCATGTAAGAGGCAGGCAAGAGATGGTCAATAGATTTATCATAAGACCCTCAGGACTACACGGCAGGTCTTTTCACATTGAAGATTTGGTAGCAAACTGTATTATAGCTAAACTGTCAACTCTACGCCTACTAAACCTTCGTTTTATGAATCATTCTGCTTACTCTGCGCCGCAAGCCGCGTTGGTCCATACACGAAGACAGTCCCCAACTACGATGTGATAGACATCAGGTGCGCCAAGATTTTCTCGCGATCCATCTTCTGACATTCCCTTTCGGCCCCATCCGCATTCCTAGCACACTGATTGGCAAGGTCGAGGGCATTCAGTCCTGCGCTATTTCTAATTTGAGGATCAGCGCCCCAACTCAATAGGAGGCTAACAGCTCTGCAGACCCCCAGGTCAACTGCCTGATGCAATGGCACTGGTCTAGTCCCATTCGCCGTGTCGTTGGGGTCAACACCTGCGTTTAGAAGCATCACCATTGTTTTGACGTTGTATCTCGTAAGAGGCTCCCGGTCTGTCCTGGTAAGGATAAGCCGAAGCAAGTTGCCGTCTGATCTCTGGATCTTGTCGAGTATACGCTTCTTATCGGAACCCAGTGCTTCAAGTATTATTCGGAGACACTTGTTGTGCTTCTTGGTGGCAAGCCTGACACAGTCCAAAATCGGTTGCTTGTAGAACGAAGATGATTGCAGCCCTTGCTCAGTCACCAGGGCTTCGACGAGCGTCGAGCTCGGACTTGTCTTTTTACAAGCCTTGGCCAAGGCCGTTTTGATAACTTCAGGGCCTGCAGTCTTGTGAGCTAGGCTGATGGTCGAGCGCTTGTGGGCAATGTTCGAAGCCCTTCGAGAGGATGCTCTGTGCCGTCGTCGTTTATCTGCGGTGGATCGGCGTTGCGTAGCTGGCGGGCCATGTCTTTGGGGCACTTGGGTGGGCTCCCCGGGCTGCAGTGAAGACGGCAGCGGTATATTCTTCCTGTGGCCTAGATTGGCACACGGAAATCGGGGTTGCTCAGTCGGTAGTGCTGGTGCACTATCACCTTGAGACGAGGGAACTTGGTATTGAAATACGTCGAGCCTTTCTGGAATCAAGACAAACTTTTGCTGGAGCGGTTCGGAAGCTTCGGTGCATGTCGTGGCAAGAGTCTCTAGAGAGGTGTTGTTGCACGTCGTGTCCCATACCCGAGATCCAGTGGAGGATTCAGCAGCAGGGGCCATGAAGCTTGCTGACTCTAAGAGACGAAAGTCTCCATCGTCTAGGTCAGATTCAGAAGTGGACTCATCATCCGTACTTCCTTCAGATGCACTGTAGTATACTGTTGCGTTGTCGGACGAGGCTTGTGGCGAAATGTTGAGGCGTGGCTCTTGAGTATTGTTGCAATTCACATTGGTGCCTCTGCCCCGAGTATACCCATTGATACGCCTGAAGTGGTCCATTTCTTGGTTGCAGTGTCAATTCAGGAGAGCTTTGATGGCGGAAGAATAGTGCGTCCTTTGAACAAATAGCAATGTTTGTATAAAGCGATTGGTAGCTGAGGAGCCAGTCGGAGGGGCAAGGTGGGTTTATCAAGGCCACGAGATTTGACCCGGCTGGGAGGCCTTTTCAAGGTGGCTCGGTGAAGAACGGCGTTACACCAATAATTTGCACATTTTTCGTTCCGCAGTTTTGATGGCTATGGTGCGAAGGACGAGTGAGTGGGTGTAAAGAGTTAACACACCTTGAATCCTGTAGCCTTGTGTGCTGGTGGCTTTTACTGGCTGAGACGGGTCAGCCGACTGGCCGGCACCCTCCAACATCAGCTTCGCGACGACGCCAAGTCCAGCCGTAAGAGGGGCTTAGACCAAATTTTACACTTTCACCTCCGACGTTGATGGTTGCGATGGATGCCTTTTTTACACATTCGGGATCTCCTAGCTGCCTTGTCTACTGCCGCTTCGTTCACCGAAAACACGAAGACTTTGCACTTGCGACGGAGGATGACGAGAAAATTTTTCAATCATCTGCAAATCCGATTTAGATGCCTTCGTCTCATGTAAGACGTGAGGTATTGTAGTGGCTGTTACATTGGACCCGATTACGCTGCTCTACCAACATCGCGGCGACCGGCGGCCACTTGTCAACATGCCACGCCGCCAACAACTTCAAATCCAACCGAAACAGTGTCATAGACCCTGGCATCGTAAGTCAGCAAACTTATGAATAGTTCACCTGCACTTGAATTATAAGGACGTCTTGGAAATATGTTCCACGACCCAACACCTGTGGAGCAGTGTAGTAATATCCCAGGAATGTCAGACTGGGCGATTGACTTCAACTCCACTGACATCAGCAAGGCTTAGCGCTTGCAAAAGAACAGATAATATGCTCAGAATTGTAAGCAGAATTAGGGCCAGAATTGATGTTACGGGTAGTGGGAAAGTGAATCTTCTGCCTGGCCTTAAGTAAGTTGTAAGGGTCTTGGGAAACCACTTCACCGACGCTGATTGCATGAGCATGGCATTATTGTTCAGCCACGAGACACACGCGGCCATCTTGCTGCTCCCGAGTTCCCGCCTGCCTTAGTGTCTTGATACAGTCACGACAATATCGGACGCTCACTCTGATCCAGTATCACTCATGGTTTGCCACTTTCGGGTACATGTCATATCATCTGGAAAGATTTCGTCATTGCATTCACATAATGCCTTCTTTCACTCTTCTCTTTACTTTTTACCTTAGCTACGAATTGCAATGGTCCATTAACCTCTTTTGAACGTCGATTACTCCATTTGACTGATCGACGAAGGATCGATTCTCCTTTGGACACCCAGGCGACAATACGAGACTTCTTCCCTCTTCCCTAGCATGCTGGGAGCAAGCTGCGCAGCCCACCCACGGAGATCCCGTCTACAGGGAGTAATCCAACGTCACATTTTCCTCTTTTGGCCAACAGGCACTCTCCGCGGGAAGAATTTCAGCGAGATGCGTCATTCTACTCCCTGCGTAAACCTTAGTCGGAGGACGAGAGGGTCACGATGTCTCACTTCTTGGAAGAATTCTTGGTAGTGGCAACGGCAATTTTTAAGCTTCACGGGACATGCCTATATGTTCTAGACTCACTGTCCCTCCCTTGACCAGGGACTAATGTAGGAATAGACGGTCTAGCCCGAGATGTTTTAACTGTGATGCAACGTTCCCGAGACAATGTCCACAACTCCACAGTCCGGACCAGCGACCCTTGGATTGAATCCCTAAAACACTGCAACATCAGGTGCAGCTTAGAATTGATCATCAAGTAAGCAGTGACTCCACACGACAGGGTCTAGGCTTAGCAAATTCCCCATAGTTCTACTCGCAAAGCTGAGTATGATCGAGTGCGATCCCGCATCGACTAATCCTCGAGGTTGACAGCCTCTCCCTTGCATCCTCATGTACGTAACCGACTTCCACGAGATGGTGATGAGGAATGTTCCTTGCGTATCAAGACCTATGAGGGCATGAAATAGGGATTAAGACTGATCTTCCACGAAGGGCTGGACTGCCTCGATTAACTCCAATGCTGAGGATCTAGATTTCGACACTGGAGGAAAATTAGAATCATCATAAGAGTATAAATCCAGTGTTCCCGTTGCGCATCATGATCACGTTCATTATCCTCTGCATCTAGTCAAAGTCGCATTTCTATTCTAACTACACTCTTGAACCTTTATTCTCACACATCACATGATGATTTCCGCCGCACTTGTCGTCAGCCTTCTAGCAGCTAGCCCTGTCCTGGGACTCGTTCGATCCCCCAAGCCCACCTTCGTCGACAACTCTTATATTATCAACGAGGACGCTAGATTTGCTTACAACCTGTTCTTCAACTTTACGGGTGCAACCAAGCTTCCCGATGGACTTTACACCAGCGTTTATACCGTGGGCGAAGGGACCCACCAATACACCACGAGTAACGTCAATGTTGCAGGGGGCTACCTGCAGCTGAAGGTCCCTGGATCACAGAAATCCATGCCTTACACTGGTGGAGAGGTTGCGACGACCGAAGAAAGAATCTTGTATGCTTCTGTTCGCACAGTTGCAATTCTCTCTGAACCAGCGGGTGTCTGCAATGGTTTGTGCTCACCATCTACAATCTCACGCTGAGCTTTGCTTTCACGACAAAATGCTGACTTCGACTTAGGAATGTTTCTCTATCACAATGACACCCAAGAGACAGACATCGAGTGGTTGTCTGACGCTTCCTCCTTGAGCAACAACGGTGTTCGCAAGATCCACTTCACCAACCAGGATGCCAACGGCGATGGCTCAAGCACGTACAAAGGCGTCACCCCACCATCTAGCCCCACAAGCACTGAACACGAGTATCGCATCGACTGGACTGAAGTTTTTGTCCGGTTCTACATTGACGGCTCTCTTATCTGGGAGACGCAGAGTGACGTCCCCAGCGCTGCCGGGCCTTGGATCTTCAACAACTGGTCCAATGGTGACAAGGGCTGGAGTGTTGGACCCCCGAAGTCCAATGCTATTTTCAAAATCAAGGATATCGATATCTACTACGACCTCGACTGGAGCCAGACTAAGTAACATTGACTATGGACCGTATGTAACCAACGATGACTGATGTCATTTTATCATGTACCGAGTGCGAGATATCTGTCGCTACCCATCATGTATGTTAAATAGCTTCTTTCAATGATAGTAGCTTCCAACACGTGTCGATAAAGACGTGTATCAAGTGAACCTCACTTCGCCTTCAGTCCGGAACGTAATTCAGTCCGGAAAGTAAGAGTGGGTATGGGAGGGTATTGCGCGCCCGATTGGACTATATAAGATTTTGTATCCAGGTAGCTAGTTGAGACTTCCGAGATAGCTAATGGCCCTGGGCTACGAAAGTTACAGAAAACATTGTCCAGCGACGCCTTTTTTTCAGAGCATACATGGAAGCTTCGTCGATCTCCTTCTCTCTATTACTCCTGATGCAGCGCGGTGTTGGTGGAATCCTTTGGCTTAGGAACTAAAAGCCAACTGACCCCGGTCCCAGCAATCAATGCCACCAGAACTGGCTGTAGAACACTCACCCCTACGCTAGATGCGAGAACACCCGTAATCACAGGGAAGAGAGAGCCGCCAATCTGCCCAAAGACAAACACAAATGACAGTGCTGTGGATTGAAGTTCCGGGGGGAAGAGCTTGGACCCGACAGAAATTCCCTGGGAAGATAAGGTTGATATCAGCAATACCAACAGAGTTTGGGTATGAACACGTACTGTCGCAAAGAAGGGGCCGGAGAAGAAGCCGAAGAAACTGATGGCCACAGAGGCGGCGATGATGTTGGGAACCCTACGATTCAAATTAGCACAACGGTCCTCGGAAAAGCTTGAGCTTACTCACAGCCAGAAGACCAGTTGAAAGGCCATGCATAGAACCACATAAACCAGAATCATTCTTCGTTCTCCAAACCTGTATGTCGGCTCAGCTAGCAGCAATCGACCCAGCATTGCTCCACCATTGAAGCCAGCGGGCACATATCCCATCTGGCCGATGTTGCCGCCTCGAATCTCAACGAGATACTCGACGATCCAACCGCTAGCCGTGATAGTGGCTCCAAGAAGGAAGAAGAAGAACAAGCTGACAGCCCAGAGGGCTTTGGTGCAGAGTGCCATCTTCATGAGTTGAGTCGGTGTCTTTGTCGCTTCCGAGTCCGATCCGAGGGGCGTTCCTGAGTTGCCAGATTGGGGGACGTCTTTCTTCCGGCTGAGCTTGATCGTATCCCTAAACGCGAAGCAGGTTAAGGCCAGGTTAAGAGCACCGATGCCTACTGGAAAGCTGTAGAAGAGGTACCACTTCGATGTTTCTCCAGTCGACGCGATGGGAGTCGCTACAAAAGGCGCAACGAGGCAGCCGGCCGTGTAGAGTGCATGGATGAAGGCTAGCCATCGATGGGCAGCCTTGACGCTGGCAACGTATGCGTTGGCGCCGGCATCTTGATATGCTTGACCCAGGCAGACTAGCCAGAAAGTCACCGCAAAGAAAGGAAAAGGAGGCTTCCATACGCGGAGTGCATGTGCCACAAGCTGGAAGAAGGCGCCGAATGCGAGCAGGCCACCGAGGTCGAATACTTGTCGGAGATGGGTATTCGTAAGCGCTGCAAGGAACCATCCGAGGAAGTTTGCACCGTAGCTGTTTGCCATCGTTTAGAAGGTGCTGGTGAGGAGAAGTGATGTGGAGAAGGGGTTAGACAAACATGATGGAGACAACAGCTGTGCTGATGTTGTAGTCACGGATCATGTACGGGAGTAGAGGTCCAACGCTGCCATCGTTGACACCAGATACAAAGAATGCGAAGCCGGCGGCGATGAGCTTCAGAAGGGTCTGATTGTCAAGCTTGCCTTCCTCGGTTGGCTCTGGTGGCGCGTCGTCAACTGCGGGGGTATGCTTCGGGGAGTCTGCGAGCTCG